ATTTAAATGCTAGTGTTTACTAACTGGCAAATAGATTGCTACTTCTGAAATCAAGTAGTTAGCTCACTTATGGAACATCTATTTGTTAGGGGCTATTAATCACATTGGACAGTATCTGCCAGGTTGGGCAAACGATACATTCAGTTTTGTGGATTCTTGCGTTTCGAAGACTAACTTTGCATTTTAGTAGCCCTTGAGTGTGTTAACAGGTCCTAATAAAAATAGCAAATAATTGCTAAGTAGAGAAGTATCAAATACAAACAAACATAAGTTTGCTTATCAGCAATAATGATAAAACTAACACTTGTACAGCATTTTAAACTTCACAGCATGCTGCTGCATACAATAACCTTATTTGTATCTTACCTCGACCCTGTGAGGGCAGGCATCTTTACTGCAGTTTTACAGATGTGGAACCTCAGAAGGTCTGAGACGGGAGGCTACGTATGAGACCCAAACTCTACTACTGTTACTAGCTTGCTTCCTTGGATAAATCATTTCACTTTTCTGGGCTGCAGTGTCCTCATCTTTAGCTTTTGGAAAATGATATCTATCTCAGGGGATTATTTTTAAGATTAAATAAGTCAAATGTTTATAAAAGAACCCTGGGCAGAATACTCAAAAATAAACACTTGAATTTTTTTTTATAGTAAGAAAAGTCCTGATATCTGGAACACAGGAATGGGAAAAGTCTCAGAACAAGGATTACTGGGAAAGACGGAGCCTAATCTTTGGTTTTACTACTCACATCCCCCCAGAGTGGTGGGGCTCCTAACTAAGTTATACTCAGAAAACTCCACATAGAGTAAGTAGTTTCATTAGTGGTAGCTAAACATAGCTGAAAGTGGAAAGAAACGGCAATTGAGGCTGGGCCCAAAATAAAGACTCATGGTAATACAAAGAGGAAATTCAAAAGAACAAAAAAGTTAATAATCATTTAATATACAGATAAAGACGTGACTATAACTCAATTATTCACAAAGGTCTCACCAAATTACAGGCCACAAAATAATTCTTGTTTGTAAATAATAGGTAGAAATTTTTGAAAAATTCAAAAGGCATTCTGAAGTAAGAAAGTATGTAATCAAAATTTTAAATTAACTTTCCAGGATAAATTTATAAAATAAAAAGTTTCATCTGCCTGGAAACCACGTTATGTGTTAACACCTGTTTCTCAAGAAGGTGGGATAAATGAGGTACCATTCTAGCTTAGTAGTATGTAAGATGCCACAGCATGCTTGTCAAAACACAAACCCTATTAAGTATGACTTGACAATTAACAAAAACTGTCCAGTGTAGTAATACGTGAGAAAATAACAGTAAATCTTCTTCAGAGAAGAATCCATTTCTGATGAAACCAAAACAAGGGAATGAATACGTTAAATTTTTCTTGAAGAAATATGGAGGAAGAACTAATCACTAAAACCTCATAGAGATTTGTGGTGATAATTTTTCCTATAGTACTGATGACAACAGATACCAATAGTTATGAAAGGCTATTATAAAAAAAGCCTTCAAGTTGTATTTTATTGCATTTGATTCCACAGCTGTTTTACTGATATACAACTGAACTTCTAAACTTTCAGGCCAGTCTCTCACAATTTTTGCCTCATCTTTTCCTGATACTGTCCTACACGTATCCCAGGCTTGGGGTAAAACTTTCTTCTTCCTGAAATTGTTCTTATTTCCCATATCTGCTCATATCCTTGCCTTTCTTCTGAACCAAAGCCCATGCTAAATTCTACCAACTTCATAAAGCCTTTTCTGAAATACCTCCACCTACCCACCCCAGTACAAGCAGATTCTTCCCATAAGATCTGTGACATTTTATTGTCACCATTTTTGACTGACTTACTCAAATATCTTGTTTCTTAGCCATCTAAAGTGAGCGGCATACATTAACAGGGTGCTAGAGTCAAACAGGTAAGAGTATCCCAGGCTCCACAAATGCATGGCTGGTCAAGACACTAACCCCTAAGAGCCTGAGATCCCTGCTCTGAGGAATGGGGACACTCATACCCGACTTTACACATTTGTGCTTATGCAAAACATCAAACCTGGAACAAACCAATTAATCAATAAATGCATGCATTCTGCCTCACGCCTCTGCTCCTACAAAAACGAAGGAAGAGGGCGCTATGAATAAGGTCATTCAAAATTGCCTTGCCTTTCCAGATGCTCCCAGCTTCTCTGCACTGACTCTGCTCCACCTGAAGGACAACTGTGTTCCTCTATATTGACTGCCAATTAATTAATTATGATTGTTAGTTTAAATGACTCCTGGAACTTTCCAGCAATATCCTAGTCAAAATGCAAACCTGTATTCACACATCTGTGAGAGTACATATATAAAGATGCTAAAAGGAAAAATAATACTGTTTCTGAGTCTCCCAAGTCCACAGAAGTCAGAGCCTGGGAACATCTGTAAAGCTGCACTATCACGCGCACTGAATTTAAGAAGAGAATCCAGGTTATAGCCTTCGGACTATTTTTAAAATGACTTATAACCAATTATTGCTCTAATGAGATTCATCAGAAAACATGAAACCCCCATTCAACCATTCTTTTCAACAATGCAAATTAGTACTGGGCAATAATTCAGGAAACTGAAAACAAATCCCAGAACGGCTGTTTCCTCTTGCCAGATGCACTAATACAAGATAATCAGAAGCAAGGGAAGAGTCAGAGAAAGTTTTAACAGGTAAAAAAATAATCTCTTCAAAGTTATATTAATTATTACTCACGTTTAAAATGTGTTAATTTTGAAAACAAGAGGAGGAAGGAAAAACAAGTATTTCTCACTTAATTGGGAATGACAGGTTAGATATTGGTAAATACCATGTAAGCATTTACAGTCACATGCAAACTATGCTGAAGAACTATGTTTTGTTCCTAGTAGAGAATATATTTTAAATTTGGGGGTTTTAATGAAAAAGTTACACATACAAAAACAGTTTTAAAAATGACGGCCTGGGGGGAGGGGACCTTGAAGAACTGAGACCGTATTTTTGACTAACAATCTCAAGTCCTGGTACATTGAAGCCACTCAGTAAGTTTTTGTTGATTAAACTGACATTTCAATTAAGGCTGCAATATTAACACAAAAAGAACCAGCACAATTACCTGCACTTTAATGTAATTTTGAAACCATTTAGTAAATAAGTTGAAACAAGTATCACTTATGACCAGAAACCAACTGTATAATGATTTTGAAAGTAGCTAAACTTCCACACTTGGCACTAGACATGAGACAGTATTTCATAAGAGCAACTCTGAACAGGGCAAGCTGTGAGGTGGAAGATCCAGTTATGATCTTTCAGAAGTCTGAAAGGGTGGAGTGGAGGAGTGGGATGGGGAGACCTTAACAGATTTAGATTTCGTTACTCACCACAATGGCAAATATTGTAAAGCTAATTAGGTAATTACTAAGGGAATTCCTGTATGAAAATAATGCTTTAAAAGTGGCCACCTATTGGGTTTGTATATTAGCAGTATTTGCAAACAGTATACTTGGGACAGGCTGCATGTTATCCAAAAACAGTAATCCAAAAACAAACTCAAGCGTTTAATTATAGGAAGCTTATGCAGTTCTCTATGAGGTTTCAGATAATTGTTTGTTTTATCGTATAAATATGACTATGAAAGGATCTGAAACTATTTAATGGGAAAATTTTACTGTTAATTACTGTTATGCTAGTGAAAACCCCCTGCAACACTTAAAATCACATAGGTAATGGAATAGATTTTAAATTTTCTAGGTGCTCTAGAGTTAAAATACAGTCTTTAACAATATAGTTAACTTCTGAAGCCTTATGTGATTATTAATTACATAGCAACAATGCTAAGCATTTACTCTGGATTCAAATTCCCCAGAACATTGCATAAGAAATTTTTATGCTCCATGTTAGCTTGTTAAACAACTCAGTAAAACCACAGCAATTGAAAGAATTATTTTTCTACATACTGAGATGTCTAATCTAGTGTCTCACTTGAAACTCTGTATTTGTCCCCTGTTGGTTCATCTTTCCACAGAACTTAACTAAATGTTTGGTGGCTGGGCTTTCATGAATCAAGACTACTTGCAGGTTGGGATGCTGGAGAAATGATGTTAGAATCATTCCATTCAAGTTTAAACACAACGATATTGCTTTGCTTTCTCCTGACCTGCTAAATACACTGCACAATACACTTTAAATGTACAACACACTGACATTAATTTAAGAATATTTTAGAAAGAGATCAGTATACAATATTTACGAAATTCAGTCATATTTTGGAATTAATGCCCACCTTTCTGAATAGTCGTCCTGCATAAAAATACTTTTCACCAACTACTGCCTACACAAGTGTTTATGTGCAAGCACATATCACATTATCATATACATCCTGTTCCACTGTTCCACTCACTTACTGGTTTTAAATATTCATGCTGCACTATCTATAGAAACAAGTCTAAGCATCTCTCTTGATAATTGCATTTATTATAAAATCAAAAAATATTAGCACTGAAAGGGATACAAGTTTTGGTCCAACTTCCTCATTCTAATAACATATGTTAAAAAAAGAAAAAAAGCTGAGACACAGAGATTGACTTAGATGTGGTTACAAAGCTATTTAGCAGCAGAACTAGATCAAGATTGTCATCTTTATCATGAGCATTCTCTTGACAGCAGAAGCTGGGTTCCTAGAAAAACTAAAAACAAAAACCATTCATAATAAATAAATCACCATTCATGAAAGTCAATCCCCTATATCAATCAGTGGAATATATACAATGAGAAGAAAACTTGGTAATAGATTGCTTTTGGCACCTCACCAGTATTTGCAAGGTGGACCTGGAACTCAGCAATAGGAACAAAGCTGTTCTTTATGTTTTCACTTAGCCCCTGATTCATGATTCACCTTCATGTTGACCTTCAGCATGGACTCCATATTTGCTGACTGGGGGTTATGGATTTGGTTGTTCACAGCTACCATAAACCCTCAATACTGTAACCTACCTCCTTGGCCATGTCTGTGTATTTCTGCTTCTCCTTTGGATCGAGAACAGCCCACCAGTCAGCTAGTATCTTGGTAGCACCTCGGTTATCAAGCCTGGGGTGTTCCTGACGTACAAGGGAGCGATGACGTTTGCAAAATAAGAGAAATGCATTCATTGGTCTCCGGGCTCGCTGTTCTGGTGATTCATCGTCTTCAGTCTCACCAACATCTTGCTCTAGGCCATCAGCCCCAAGAAGGTGAACCTATGACCAACAGAACAAAAGCTAGATGTTTTAACACATGCTGGATAACTTTGCTTCAAAAATTAGTCTTGGTTTTCAAATTGTATTTTTCCTTAGCTTCACAGAAACAACTTAAAAATCCAAAAAAAGATGGTTTTTTAAAAGTCATTAACCACTGTTTTGGTTGGTAACCAACCCGTGATGTATTCTTTTGCTTACTTTCTATAGCAACCTGTGCATGTCCCTATTACAGCATATACTACACTGCTGTTAGAACTGCTTACTTTTTTTCTCTTACTAAACAGTGAGCTCTTTGAGGACAAAAGCTCTCTTATTTACTTTATACACAGTGCCTAGCTCAATGTCTGGTATAAAATTAGTACTTAATTGACAGCTGAATAAACAGTTAAGCCCATTCTCTGGTATATGGGTCTCAAGATTGACACATAAAATACATGAATTAGTTCTGTCTTTCTCCTTTTTGGAAAGTGCTTTTCCATAGCTAATAACATAAAAATGTTTAACATGAAAGCATATAATAAAAATCTAATATAGACTACTGAAGAGTTTTTGTGCACATCACAAGTGGAACGACCTACCATAAAAATCAAAATAGACATTTAACATTATTTGAAGGAAGAACTACATAATAACATTTCAAGCCTGTAAGTATCATGCTTTCTTGTCCACTGAAATGCTATGGTGATAGGGCTTACACTTTCAAAATCGGTTTTGCATCCTCCCCTTTCCTAAGCACTTCATTCAATTCAAGGTCTTCAAGGACTACGGAAAAGCTCTGATCCTGTCCATCTGTGTAATTTTCATTGCCACTGCCCTACTACCACTCTGGCCTGTGGCCTCGTCTTACTGCCTTTAATCTCTTACAGTACTTTCTGCACATGGCTGCAGATTACAATTCTTAAAGTACACCTCTGATCACAGAATCTCAGAATATAGTGGGATTGTTAAGTAACTTCTAAGGCTAAAATATGATTCTATGATATTTCTTAGAAATGGTGCAACCAAGAACGGAAGTCCAGAATGCTTACTAAAACCACTTCTTCGGTTGTTGTTTCATAGTTAAAATTAAGAAGGGATCAAGGTAGTCATTAGTCTGCATTATACAGTAGGGTAGTACTTCTTAAATGTGAGTGGGCATCGGAATCCCTGGAGGTCTTGTTAAAACACAGATGGTTATGTCCCATTCTAGTTTCTGATTCTGTAGGTCTGGAGTGGGTCTTAAGAATTTGTATATCTAGCAAGCTGCCAGGTTATGCTGCTGGTCTAAGGATCACACTTTAAGAACCACTACTACATGGGCACCAGGTTCTCTTATATCATGTTTATTGGGCAACTGTTACAGATATATATTGTAGGACAAATCACAAGTTTAATCCAGTTAGGTATTTTTTAAAAGTCTTTTAAATTTATATTGCCAATGCATTTAATTAACCATCAATTATCATCTTCAAACACAAATAGTACAGGACAATTCTGAAGTCACAGCTACCTGATTTGGAAATACATTAAGGATTATTATTGAGGGTGAAGGCTACAGATTTATCTTCCTCATTATGTGTATAATCATTAACAATGATTTGCATTTTCAAGGAATATTTATTTAGCATCCTGAAACTGACTAAGAAGCTACTGAAAAATCAGGCATAAACAATGTATTATGTAGGCTGAGGTCGTAATTATATTTTCCCTTCAGAAAAGAATAACTTTTGATTCAGTTACTAAATTATAAAACTCATGCCAAGAGCTGGAAAAATAGATAAATAAGACAAGATCCTGGCCCAAGGAGCTCACTGTTTTGGGAGAGGAAAAAGATATATAAGCAAGTAAATTAAAAAGCAGGATGATTTTAACAAGGAACCAGTGTGATAATGAATCAGAAGTGGTTGGGTAGGAGCACAGGGAAGTCTCCCTAGACAAGATGCAACAAATCAACACCAGCATCAGACCAGGATATAGAAACCACAGCTGGATGCAATGCAAAGCCCTGAGTAGTTTTAAGCAGGAGAAGGATACTGTTAGATTTGTATTTTAAGGTAACTCCTATCAGCAATGTAGAGCATGAATTAAGTAACAAAATCAGAAGCAGCGAAAGCTAGAGAAACCAGTTAAAAGTTCATTCCAGCTGTCCAGCAAGAATGGGGACAGAGCTCAATCAAGGCAGTAGTAATGAGAATGGAGAACTGAGAACAGAGACAATACTCACTAATGAAGTAGAACCAAGAGTGACTGGGGTCTAAGTGGATTTAAAGGTTGAAAAAGGAAGAGTGTTTCCAGCTTTGGTGGCAAGATTCCTTCATATACAACAGAGAATACTTTTTCTCAAATGAGAGAAATTAGATCTGGTGGGGAGCAGAAACAGCAGCGCTGAGTAGGCTGAATGTGAAGTGGCTCTCAGCAGAGAGGTCTCAGCTGGGATGACAAACTGATGTACCAATAGAAAGAAGAAAGACCAGGGGCATGGACGAGAGCTCTGAACGTGGACTAAAAAGAGAAGAAGATGCGATGACTCCATCCTTTCACTCAGTAACTGTCTACTGGCACCTGACATGGACCAGGCACTGTTCCAGGTGATGCAGACAGAGCAGTGAGCATACAAATCCCCTATAACCAGCCTTCCATTTTGGAAGGACCTCTCTAGCTGCTCTGTTGAAAACACACTGAGAAGGGCAAGAGCAGAGGCAGGGAGAGGCAGAAAACAATCACCCGCACTAGCACTGGTGGTGGCTTGAACAAGGTAGCAGTAGTGGCGTTGCTAACAAGGGGCCAAACGGAGAACTTGTTTTTAAGGTATAGCTGAGAATTTGCTGACAGATGCGAGACTTGAGCAAAAGAAAACAGACAAGGTTTCAGGTCTGACCCTTGAAAGTTTGCGTTGCCACTTACCAAGAAAGGAAAGATGTAGGAGGATTGGGTTTGGAGGAGAAAAGTGAAAGTTTCATTTTGAACACATTCAAACTGAGATACTGATTTGATATCTAAGTGGATATGTCAAGTAAATAGTCAGAAATACAAGTCCAGAGTTTAGGAGAAAGGTCGAGGGTGGAGACAGAAATTAAGATAAGAGGCCCAGAGAATATCAACATTTGAGGGCAGAATAATGGAGGGGCAACAACTGAAAGAAACTAGAAAGGTATAGTTGGGAAGGCAGGAATAGAAATACGAGTCACAGAAATAGAAGACGCGGAAACAGGAGACAGCTTCAAGGACGAAGTGATCAGCAAGTGCAAATGTGTCAGAAAGATCAAATTAAGCATAAACTTGGCAATTTCCTCGAATAGGAAAAATAACTTATTTCTCTGAAAAAGGGAAGGAAAAGGGAAAGACAGATAAGCAGTGAGGGACAAGTAAGGTGAGTAGAGAAAGCTGAAGGAGTCATTTCTTGTGGCCCCTATTTTCTCTGTGAAGGAGGAAAAAAGGTCAACGGTGAAGAGACCATAACTCGTATGCATAGAGGATATCTGAGAAACAGGAAAAACGTTTACAATTCCTGCTGAGACAAGTGGAAGAGGGAGCTGACCCAAGCCAAGAATAAAAGACTGTATGGATGTCGAAGGCCTGAAGCCTGTCAAAGATATGTTCATAAAATTTGTAGTAACACAAAATATGCCCTCATGTGTTCTTCCACTGAACGTGTATCTATTCAAAACCTACTTTGGTCCAGCCAACATTCTAGGTTTTAAGGAAAGAGAACAGGTGGGGCAAGACCCCTGCTCTCACTGAGTTTGTACTCTAGCCCAAGAAGAAAGGCACAAACAAGTACACAGCTAAACAGAAGGCAACAGGAAGAAGTGTGAGGAAGGAAAGCCTCTGACGTGCAATGAGCTGGGTGGGAGGGACCTGAGAGGATGAGGGCCCACCTCTCGGGGATGTAGTTCTTGAGCTGAGACCTGAGTGACAAAGAGGAAGATCCAGTTATACCAAAACCTGGAGGAATACGTGTCTTTCTAAAGTCACCTGCATGGTTGTGAGACTTTCTAAACAAGAGCCGAATGCTCAAGTGTGAGACCAGAGAAGGGACTTGGAGGACTGACCACAGAGGCTTGGAGGGGTGACAGCAGCCAGATGCCCTGAAGGCCTCAGAGGTGAGGACCTAAACAGCTCTGAAACTGCCTGTGGTGGCAAGACCCGGCTGGGAGGGAAGAGAGGCCAGAGGAACAACAGGTGGGTGCCAGGTGAGCACATCAAAGTTTACGAACTCCCTCATCTCATTGCATTTGAATATTACTTGCAAATCATTAGCTAATTGACAGTAATATGATTTAAGAAGGATCTGCTTCAGTCTAAACTATTAGGAAGTATGGACACTCTAAGAGTCATCAACATTTGTAATGAAAATGTAGATTAAGTAGTTAAACAGGATTCAAGTTATACAGACTCCTGGAAACGCATCCTTCACACCATACATGTTCACTGAAGTTTAGAATGGATGCTCAAATAAACTTAAAACTTCGACAATAAATGGAGGAATTACCTTATCAATATCTTCCTCTTCGTCTTCCTCGTCTTCCTCTTCTGAAAAGTCAAGAAGTTTCTTTGCTAGCAATGGATGCCACTGAAGACACTTCCGTTTTGGTCGTTTTCCAGTCCCTTCTCCTTCAGCTGAATGATCCTTATTTCTATTACTGCCTTTCATTACTGTGACCTGTGATAAGGGGAAAAAAGGGAGAGAAACAGAGAAATCAAAGTAAATTTGATTAAAATTAGTTTATTTACCTTCCTTAGCTTTAACTGGATTATAGTTTTAAAGATTAAAATATCTACCAACTCAGGCATTTACTGGATTCAGTAAGAATTCTAAGTACATAATCAAACATTCATTTTCATGGGCTAAAGTGAGCTAATAAAATTGGCCTTTTATGAAATCTACTTCCTTCCACTTCATAACTTAGGACTCAAAATCCAAATAAAGTGTTAGGATGATTACAAGTTACTGTCACCTGATCATATTTACTCAGAATAGTGTTTCTCAACATTTTTCACCAGAAGAATGTGAAAGACTCCTGCCAGGGGAGCAGAAGTGCTCACTGAGGTGGGCCTCCATATTCTCTGATGGCTCCTATTTTATCATGCCTTACATGAATTTCACATTCTATACTATGATAAATCTGAGCTTGGAGTATTATTAAGTAAAATGAACACTTCGTAAGAATCAAATGTTTTATTTTATTTTTTAAAATATTTTATCTATTATTGTATTACTTTTATTTTGGAAGGGGGAAGGGGGAGAGGTAATTAGGTTTATTTATTTTTCGAAGAGGTACTAAGGACTGGACCCAGGACCTCATTCATGCTAAGCATACATTATACCACTTGAGTTATACTCTCCCCTCAGAATCAAATGTTTTAGACTTAAAACTATTTCATAAGATGACACACATTTTTCAAAAACTAGCTGTGTGCAGCCTCCAAGGACCCCACCCTTGCATCAAGTCACTTAGTGGGATGAGCACCCTCTGTACCTGCCTGTGACACGACAAATCACAAATCTCTCTCTGCATCCCCCTATTACATATGCAGCCAATCCAGTAACCAAGTTTTGCTCTCTAAACCCCTTTCCTCTATAAGATGACGGGTTGAAATAGCTGGGCTAGAGTCAGGCTATGAATCTGACAAAATCTTTCAGAATCCCAAAATTCTAAATTACTTTTCAATGACTTAAAAAAATGTTTTTGTCAATGAAAGAAACAACTATGTATTCATATTATAGAGTGAAAACAGCAAAAAATGAGGTTTACCTTCTCTATCATGCCCAGCCCCACAGCCCAAAGGTAAACTATACACATCAGTTTCTTACATGCTTTCTCACAATTATTTAATATTTCTCATTCATTCATTTGAAGTAACATTAATAAACAAATTACTGTTTATACATACTCAAGTGAAAATTATAAATAATACAGTTAAATGCCATCAATTTAAATGCTTCATGCTGACAATTACTAACATAAATGCAACTGCCAAAATCACAGGCTGATGATCTTTTTGGGTTGGTCCAAACCAAACAAAAAGTTTTCAAGTTTTTGCACAGGTCCAGATGCTTGCAAAGTGATATCAATAAACTTTTAATGCCATGTTGCTGAAACAGGGTCCATGAGAATATAGTTTTAAGAGCCATCTAGTTCTCAAGACTTCAAAACAATATGGCATAGGCAATTTTTTAATCTTCCTTCCTTAATTGTTTCTGAGTTTAAGGTCATACTTAGGTCTTCTTCACTTCAAAATTGAGAAATATTCAGTAATGCTTCCTTCTAGAACTTAACAACTTCATTATTTTTAAAAACATGTAAACATCTGATCAACCTGGAATTCATTCTGACAAGAGTGAGGTAAGGGTCTAGTTTATTCTTTTCTTTCCAAATAGCTATCCATCTGTCCCAAACCATTTATTGAATCATCCAGCTTTTCCCTATTCCTTAGAAATGCTACTTTTATCTTATACGACATTACCACGTGTCTATTTCTGGATTCTCTGCTGTTAATAACCATCCTTTCCTAACTATTTTCCTATCCTTTGACCAATTTTAATATCCTAAGGACAATATCATTCTCTTTTTCTATAAACAAATGTATCAGTAAACCACCATTTAATACTCTTAAGTTGAACAGATCATGCTCTTCTAAGGTAATACACCTTGAGCATCCTTACTTTGTAATAATATAACATTCCAAAGTAAAAACGTATCACAATTTTCTCAATCATCCTATGATTGATAGATATTCAGATTATTTCTTGTACTGCAACAAAATCTTCACTTTAATAATTTTTAAATCTTCATTTGGATAAAAATCCTTATTAATTTATTAAAAGCTGTGTCTAGTCAAAAACAGAATGAGGAGGAGAAAAATGTTTCTGTGGTTTTCTTAACAAGAAACTTCTGCTGAATATCTGAAGCAGTTACATGATTCATGTGGTTGTCTCAAGAGTAGAAGTTACTGAAAACTCTAAATGGAATTAGTTATCTGCCGTGCTCCTAATAAAGGAACGAAGATTTCTTAGAATTGATAGACCATTTAACAATTCCCAGTCTATCCACAAATAAAACTTGGCACAGCAACCCAATTTCCAAAAATACCAATGCTATAGAGAGAGAAGAGGAAATAGTTATTACTTCTGCGGCTTATTAATCACTTCAGGATGTGATGCCTGAGTGGTAATTAAACCCACACTGGGTTTAATACTAGATGTTTTATGATATAATACATTTTTTAAATAGTAAAAGAAATCAATGGGAAACTATAAGTCAGGCAAGCTGTTATCAACTGGAGAGGTCAAGTGATTGCCAGTGTGCGTAGAGAAAAATATATCATTCAGCCTCCAAGATTTTGATTATGTTACTAAATTATGTGTGAATGTGTTTAAGTGTATGTGCCCTTGTATATATTTATGTATAATTTCAATATTCAAACAGAAAACAGAATATGAAGAATCAAATAAGTGAATAGTGTATGTGGCTTTTGGGTTCAAAATAATCACATTCCCCTCCCCCTCCCCCACTGCTCGAATTCTTTCTACATAACTGGCATGCCACTACGATACTGTATGTCTTCTCCGATATTCCCCAAATTAATCTCTTCTTCCCCAGAAATACAACAGAAAGATTTGCTATATCTAAAGACACTTACCACATTTTCCGTTGAATGATAATTACTCGGTACATCCTACCTCCATCATTAGGCCTTTCTCTTGATGATCCAAGACAAGTTACCTTTATATGCTCAGAAGCATCTGGCTTCTCAGAACATCAAGATCAGTTAGTTGTGAAGGTTGTTACAAGCAACCATATGAACCTTCATGCTAAATTATGGTGATAATTCACTATATTTATATGCTAGAATGGCTTCAAAATTAATCCCTATCTCTCTCATTCTCCTGAATTCAGATATTCCTTCCGGGGGCAGGGTGGGGGTCTGAAAATCATATATAACGCTGACATGCAGGCCAAGGTGGCATGTGATGTGTGAGAACAACCAGCTACTTGGGCTGTGGAAAAATAAGACTGACAACCCCTAGGGTCTAGAACAAAGTAGGAGAAAAATAAGTATTTTTAGCATAAATGAAAGATGAATAAATGAGTACGTGAACTGGAGACAGTATCCCTGGGACAAAAATAGTCAAGAAAAGTGAAACTAATGTAATGACCATGAAATACCTCAAACTGTAAACTGGATACTTTAATAACTTACAGTTATCTGATTACTTTAATTCTCCGGGGATCTACTTTCAAACTCTTGAAAGGAAGGCAAAAGAGCTGGGGGAAATGATGCTCCAGATTATCATTCAGATTTAATAAGAAGGCAAGAGACAAGAATGAAAGAAAAGATAAAAAAAAAAATCTTTCGGGAAAGACAATGGCAAAGAAGGCAAAATTTTATTTCAGCAATGAGGAGGAGGAAAAATTGTTAATTTTTTATAGTAGCAGAGGCCTACCTTTCTAAGTATTTTGCCAGTACATTATAAAATTTGGCTTCTTGTTCTGGAATAAAAGCAAATCAAGCTAGCAATCTATATGTAATGAACGGAGCAACCGGTGGGATTTTTTTCAAAAAGAGTCCTTTTTTCTTTCTGCACTGCAACTCTAGAATAACTGAAATCAGGTCATTTAACTGTCAGTGGACTCTGTACTTGAAGGACTCAAGACTCAGTATCATCAAATTATTGTTCCTGAGACTGTTAGTGATGGAGGCTGATGGTCCCTATCCAAAATACAGTTGACCGCTGAACAACACAGGTTTGAACTGCGAGTGTCTAACTATACATGAAGCCTTTTCAATAAAAACATACTACAGTACTAAGTGATCCACAGCTGGTTGACTCCACAGATGGGGAAACCGTGGCTACAGATGGATTACTGTAAAGTTACATAACCCCTGCATTCAAGGGTCAACTGTACTAAATATTTATCTTATAAAAACAAACCAACCCCTGTATTCCCTTTTCTTTGCTAGGATGAGTTACTCAATTAGAAACTCGTAATACTGAACTAACTGTAAATCAACCTGGTGATAAATTAGGAAAAACTTCACTTGAGTATATTCTTCAAATGCAGCAAGCCCATTCATCAAGACCTTTACTGAGGTCAAACTGCACGAGAAATTTAAAGAAGAAATATCACAGAAGAAACAGTACAAAGCAAATAACACATTTAACAAAGGGAAAAAATGGACACTGAAGCCTAACAGACCTCATTGAGAATCCTGCCTCTACCAATTACTTGTAAAGTTATTCATCTTGCTAATCTTTCTTTATGTTAACTCTGAATAATAGTTCTACTGTAAGAACACTTTTTTCTATAACACCCAACACGGAGCCTGGCGCCTAGAAGGGTCTCACTCCATGTTAGTAAATCCTCCCTTCACCCACAAGCTTTTTAGAGGGAGTATGGGTTTAACAGGCAGTAGGTGCTCGCTTAACACTGCTTAAGATGCTGTTCCAGAGAGAGCATAGAGGACTCCCATTTAACAGTGGTCCACATGCTTCCCAGATGATACAACCTCCAGCCTCAGAAACCGAAAAAGAAAGATGGTAAGTTTCCTTTTTTCGTCTCAGTGATATACAGTCAGTGCCTTGGTACAGTCATAAATTTTGTAAGATCCTCTATGCTTTCTACCCTCTTGTCTCACAACTTAGGCAATCAGTACCCT